GCCAGCCCTGCCATGGCAGGGCTGGCACTGCAGGGCTCTGGGGTCCCTTCCCACCCAAACCATTCCAGGATTCCCCAAACAGCCCTGACTGCAGAGCCCACACTGTGCTGCCAGCCCAGCTCAGGCTGGGAAGGTGCTGGCACTGGGACACCCAGCCCAGGAGCCAGAGGGACAGAGCAGCTTCATAACAGACCTTACATGGGCAGAGACCCCACAGCCCCTCCAGGAGAGCAGATTCCACAGGACCTGGCTCACCTTTGCAGGAAAGGGCAATCAGGGGCTTTTCTGGGCTAAATGGAGTCCAACATGGAAACAAACATGGAGAGAACCCAGCAAGGGACACGTGGCAGGAGGGGGTCGGATAAAGGTCTCCCCAGACTAAAATCATGATATGGAATGCCAGGATTGAGGACACCAGGCCCATCTGAGGGCCCACAGCACGACTCCAGAGCAGAACACGGATGTGCCCAAGAGTTGGAGGAGAGCCAGGCAGGAACCCATGACAGGAACTCTGCCATGGCCTCGGGGCAGCTCCAGACAGTGCCAGGCTGGTCTGCACCCAAAGGCACAGTCCTGACTGTGGGATCAGGGCACTGGTGAGCCAGGAAAACACCAGGTAGACTCCAGAGCCTCCAGGGATGGGAACTTCAAACATCCCTGGCCAGCATGGCTAAAAATCCCAAATCCAACTGATGTATCCCAGAAACCCGGGAGCAAAACTTGCACTAATTCCATGAGCTTCGCCATGGAATTATGCCACAGGACTTCCCTGAGCCCAACCCAGGGTGAAATAAAACCTCTGCCTCCCTAAAACCATCTCTGGTCCTCATTCCAGCCTCACTAAAGAAGGCAATTCCATCACAGCCCTTGGCCAGTCACTCCAACAGCCAAACAGCTCTTTGTCATAAACCACTGCCTGCCCAGCCTGGCTTCCAGCTGCATTCCAGCCTGGAAAGGAAAATAATCCCTTTCCTTTCCCAAACCTCTCCCCCAGGCAGGACAGCAGAGCCCAGAGGCCCCACCAATGCTCCAGACCCAAATCCTGGGCCAGGGCTCCCAGGGCTCTCCAGCATGGCACAGGGGAACAAGAGGGCAACACCAGGCACGACTAGAATGGTCCAGGCTGGTTCCCAGGAAAGCCCAGTCTCTTGCACGTGGAAAAGGAAAATGCTATAGCTGCCAATAGCCAGGGCCTGGTTCCTGATCCCACTCCCAGAATTTCTGCTGGGAGCTCTTTCCACAGCCACTGTAGCCTGGAATGCAGCTGGAGCCAACTGCAGAACCCAAAGGGCCCAGACAAGCTGGGGAGGGCTGGGACCCTCAGCACCCCACGTGCCCCTCTATTCTCTCCCTTCCTCCCTTTCACAGAATCCTGTGAGCTGGAAAACCCCGGAGCCCATCGAGTCCAAGAGCCCCCCAGCACTGCCAGGGCCACCACTGCCCCATGTCCCCATGTGCCACATCCCCAGGGCTCTTCAGTCCCTCCAGGTTCAACCCCCCCAGCCAGAGGATCCATCCCTGCCACTCCCAGCTGGGAGCTCCCTGCAGCTTCCCAGGGGACACAGCAGTTTTCCCCGTGGAATGCTGCTCCATCACCACCCCTGACCACAGCATGGCCAAGGAGAATCCTTCCAGAGCCTTCAGACAAGCTCCTCTGCTGTTCCCGGGCTCTGATCCTCCTTTCCCAGCTGCCTCCAGGGCCGGAGCTGCTCCAGGGTCAGTAACTCCAGGATCTCCAGCTGCTCCTGGTGTAAAACTCGCCTGGAATGACTCTAACAGGGAGTGAGAAAAACCTGGAGGCACTGCTGCCATAAACGTCCCCCCTGGATTTATTGATCCTCACAGGACATTCCCAAGCTGAGAATAAACAAAAACTTAATCTCAACACCTGCAACAGCCAGAATCCCACCAAAGCCTCTCACTGGACTTTTTCTCTCCTCAGTTAATGGGCTGGAAATTCCCAGTTTGGACGGACATGGTGGCAGAGGGAGATCCTCCCAAACCCACCAACCCCAGGGCACAGGGATAATCCCTCTGGGAGCCCGACTCAGCAAAGAGCACCATTATTAATGGCCTGTGAGCACCAATGACTGCAAGGAGCTGTTTCCATGCCTGAAACTCCTCATGGCACATTCAGGAATTCTATAAAGCCAGAGGATTTCCTTCCCAGAAAGCACTTCCTGAACCCCCACTAAAACCCAAAGCAAGCTCCACTCAGTGCACACCAAAACTCTCAGCTCACAGCCGTGGATCCCCACAGAGCATTCTCCCAGGGCTCTGCTCCAGGCACCAGGGATGCAGAGGAACCCCAGCCACGGAGCTGGGGGAGCTGGGACAAGGCCAATCCCCACACTGGGCACAGCTCCTGTTCCTCAGGAACCCCCAGCCAGTCTGGAATCAGCCTTCACACAGCTCCCAGCTGCCTGAAGGATCTTCACATCCTGGGATTTAGGTCAGCTTGAACCTTCAGCCGAGCTCTCCAGCGCTGTGCAAGCTCGGAGCTGCTCCGCCACATCCGGCCCCATTTCCCAGGAATAACCAGCAGGAAAGGTGAGAACGAGGCTGCCAGGGGAGCTGACAGACAAACCTGAGCCCCCAGAGCCCTCCAGACCCAAACCTCAGCCCCACGTCCTGCCAGAGATCCCAAGGATGGGAATTGTGGGGATCCTCGGTGCCAAACCTGAACCCCCCTAGAGTGACTCAGGCACCCAAACTCAGCTTTAGGCTTTGCCTTCTCATCCCCACGATGGCTCTGACCAGCCTGGCAAACAGGGCTCAGCACAGCGTCCCTGGCAGTGCCCAAGGCCAGGCTGGACACTGGGACAGTGGGAGGTGTCCCTGCCATGGCAGGGCTGGCACTGCAGGGGCTTTGAGATCCCTTCCCACCCAAACCATCCCGGGATTCTGTGATTACAACTCCAGTGGGAAGCCAACCCCGAGAGCTCGTCCCAGCAGAGGCAAACGGGACAGAAGTGCCCAGGGCGGAGGGCTCTGCAGGGGCACAGGTGTGTGCCACCCCAGGGATGTCACAGGTAGCACTGCAGGGACACGGGCTGGCACACAAGAGGATCCAGGCAAACACCCCTTGGGGGGTTAATGCCAGTGCCTCGATCCAGACCAGGGCCTGAGGGACAAATACCAGCCAGGGCCACCAGCCCCACAGTGGCCCCCAAGTCCCACCAGTGTCACCGTGGTCCCCAAGCTGGGAAAGGTCCCTCTGGAGCATCCCAACCCTCCCAGGTCATGCCAGGGGAGCTCCTGCTGTGGAGGGTCACCTCACTGCCCACAGCCAGGGCTGGAATCACTCAGAAGCTGCCAGCAGAGGAAGATGCTGGGCCTGGAACACCTGGAAAATAACTGGGATTCCTTCTGAGACCCTCAGAGGGGACCAGGGTGAACAAGCACAACAAAAGGGGAGAAGCAGGAACGCTGCTGGCCTGGGGCGGGGCTGTGCTGATAACGACATTGTAATCGTTGGTTTTGTTATCAGTAATAGTGCTATTATCACTACTACTGTTATTACTAACATTACATGAAAACCAGCCCAGGGAAAAGCCCAGGGAAACTGGAGCAGAGATCCTGGTCCTGCAGAGGCTCAGAGAACTCAGGAATACAAACGAGTCCCCAAGAGCCCAAACCGTCCTGGGGATGGGGCAGCCTGGCCTGTGGCTTGGGAATCCTGGGGGTCCCACCCAGGCAACCCCCGGCCCCGCTGGGTGACCCCAGGTTTGGGGGTCCCTGGGACAGGAATTCTGGGGTTCAGGGGAGCCTGGGAAGGGACCCATCCCTGAAATGCAAATCTCCCTCTTCCAGCTGTCCCAGATCTCGGTCTGGCAAAGCCCCTCCCCAGGGGGAAGTGGGGGGAGCAGCTCCCAGACCCCCCCGACCCAGCTATGGATATTCCCGGGAGAACTCTGATGGGAATTGGAGTGTTCCATAGCACTGAAGGGAACTGAGGGGGGAAAAGGGGAAACCAAGAGTTTGTGGGAACAAAGAGCCACAAGATTGGCCAAAGGGCAGGAAGGGGACAGAGCTGGAGCCCAGCAGGAGCTGGGACACACGGAGCAGGGAAGGGAGGGAGTGGGACACGGCTCCTCCTCGTCCCGTGTCACGGAATCTTCTCTCGGCTCCTGGGGAGGGCTTGAGGAAAGGGGAGGGAGCAGGAGGGCAGCACAGAGGGGAAACAGCCACCCCCTGAGGGACAGGGGGACAAAGCAGCTCCAGCTGGACCAGACGAGGCCACAAAACACCGAGAAACACCCCAGAGCCGGGAGGAGTTCGGGGAAGGAGCCGGGGGTGTGTCCGGAGGGCTCTGGGGAGGGGAACGAGGCCTTGGCTCCATCCCCTCACGGATGCCGGCGGCTCCCTTGACCCGGCGGCAGGAGAAGCCCTGAGGGAGCCCAGATTCCCCTCCGGGAGCCGATTCCTCCTTCCCAGATACCTCAGGACTCTGCCAAACGTCTCGGCCCCTTGTTCCCGGCGTTAATCACGGAAGCCGGGAATGGTTTGGCAGAGAAGGGACCCCAGAGCCCCTGCAGTGCCAGCCCTGCCATGGCAGGGACACCTCCCACTGTCCCAATGTCCAGCCTGGCCTTGGGCACTGCCAGGGATCCAGGGGCAGCCACAGCTGCTCTGGCAATTCCAGCCCAGGGCCTGCCCACCCTCCCAGCCAGGAATTCCTTCCCAAGATCCCATCCAGCCCTGCCTTCTGGCAGTGGAAGCCATTCCCTGTGTCTCGTCCCTCCAGCCCCAGGAAATTGTCTCTCTCCAGAGCACTCCCAGGGATGGGGCAGCCACAGATCATCGGGAAGCGGCAGCGGCGGGGTAGAGGCTCCCCGGGACCGCCACGGGGCTGCCGTTCCCTGCCCCGCCCCACCCCGGATGGGGCCCGAGGCCTCCCCGCGAGCACGGGCCCGGTACTCGCCGCCCGCGGCTCTCACCGAGCGCTGCAGCTCGCCCAGCCAGCAGCTCGCCCGCTCCTTGCCGCTGGGGTCGGGATCGTGGTAGAGCGCCTGCACAGCCTGCTGGACGAGCTGCAGGCTGGGCCGGCCCGGCCCGCGCTCCATGGCCGGTCCCTCAGCGCCGCCCGCCCGCCGCCATCGCCGCTCCGCGCACCGGACCGGCCCCCGGAAACGCGCCCGCGCGCCTTCCGTTCCGCGTCCTTCCGTTCCGCCGGCCTCCCTCCCCGCTGCCCGCTCCGCTCGGTTCCGTCCCGTTCCGTCTCTCCCATCTCATCTCATCCCATCCCGACCCGACCTGACCCGACCCGTCCCGTCCCATTCCATCGCATCCCGTCCCGCCCTCTCCCATCTCGTCTGTTTGTCCCATCGCATTCCCCCCACTCAAGCCCCGCTCGGAACGCGCTTCCGGCGGTGCGGGGGCCAAATGTGTCCGGGCTCACGCGGCGCGGCGGGAAGCGTCTGCGACCCCCCCTCAAATCGGAACGGGGGGTCCCGGCACCCCCGGCCTGCCCTGAGCACTCTAGGGACCCCCCCACCCCCAATTCCCCCAGCCCGTCCCACGGGGGTCCCGCTGTCCCCACTCTCAGTGACCTGTCCCTGAGGGCTCTCACCCGCCCGCCCTCAGCCCCAGTGAACCGTCCTGAGCGGCTCCACGCCCCCAGACCCATTATCCCAATTCCTGTCCCTCCCAGTCCCTCAGGGCAGCCTGGCCCGGTGTCCCCATCGCTGCCAGGGGTCCCAACAGCCCAGCCGGGCCCCTCTGGGGGCTCCTGCGGGACCAGGGCTGTCCCCTGCTCCCCATGCCAGGACATGCTCTGATTGTTATGGAATAGAAATTATTAATCATGGAGACAGTTAAATCCCAGCTCGCGGGGGGCCTCAGGTCCCAGAGCCCACAGTCCCCTCGATAAAACCCCACCAAAGGGGTCTGTGCCCACGGGTGCCTCAGGATCGCACTGGCCCGAGGGCCTGCTCCATCCCAGCTGGAGAAACACAGCGTGTCCAAATCAGCGTGTCCCGGTCACAGTGTCCTGGTCACAGTGTCCCGGTCACAGTGTCCCGCTCCGTGTCCCACTCAGAGTGTCCCGCTCCGTGTGTTTTTACCAATGCCACCCGTTGGCTTCCCCCTAACGAACCCGAATGAACGAGAGCTGGGTCTGTGCCCGGCGCAGGCGCTGCCCCCAGGCCTGGGCAATCCCGGCACAATTCCAGGCTGGGCCGGGAGCGGGGAACAGCCCTGGGACAGGACCTCAGCACCCCGAACCTGCCCCAGGCGGGATTGCTCCCAGCAGGAACAGCTGCTCCAACACCGGAACCAGAACGGGACCCGGACAGGCTCATGCGCATCTCGGTGCCGTACCAGAGCCTGCTGAATTTCTGTAAACTGCTCAGGGATTTCTTGCAGTTCCTGCGGGAGCAGCTGGGCTGACCCGGAGCCCGAGCAGAGCCGGTTCTGGCTGCGGTCCCGGCCCGTTCCCGGCTGGGATCGCCACGCGGGGCCCGAGGCAGCCGCAGCCCGGGGCTGCTCCGTCCCTGCCGCCCCCCGCCCGCCCCTCGCTGCAGTCCCGTTTGTTGTTGAAATAACGCTGCTCGTGCTGCCCAGAACCGCGGTGTCAGCGCCGTTCCCGGGCAGGGCGGGGGGGCCGGGCCGGCACCGGCACCGGGAGGGAGAACGAGCGGGGCTGGCCCGGTTCGGGACGAGACAAGGGCGGAGTCGGGGCCGAGTGGGAAAAGCGCTTTAATTTGCCATGGGAGCGGCGCGGGGATGGAACGGCCCGAGCTGCGAGTCCCGGAGCCCCGAGGGACGCGCAGGTGCCGGAGGTGCCACCCTGAGCTGCTGCGGCCACCCAGGGCTGTCCCCGGTGTCACCGCTGCTGCCTCGGAGCTGCCGGGACCCCCCTCAGCCGGGAGCGCGTTTGGGATCCCTGGATCCGGGACATTCCCTCTGTTCCAGCGGGATCGCTGCTCCAGGAGCTCTCCTGGCTCCGGAGAAGGTTCTGGAGCGTGGGCGCGCCCGGAACGAGTCAGGGGTCCTGCTGGGGCCTCACCTGGAATGTCCCACACGGAGCACAGGGTTGGGGTCTCCCCGACCCCCGTTTGCTGCCCCAGCACCCCGTTCGTCTTTGGGGCCCCGGAGATGGAGCTGTGGGGCAGCCCTAAGGCTAAGCTTGGTTAGTTGGGATCGGGTGGTTTGGGATGTCGAGGTGTCGCTGTGCAGCCACCTGGGACAGGACCAGACCGACACTCTCACCTCATTTTCACACCCTCACTCCCTCCCCCTTGGTGGCCCCCGTGTCACTTCCCCCTCCCCCAGCTCATCCTCTTTGTCCCCAAAGCGGATTATGGCGCCGGCTCAGCAGGGACACGCCAGTGTGCACGGAGGGGCCACACCTCTGACAGCCTCACACGGGGCCACAGGTGTGCATGGGGGCGGGCAAAACCCCCCCCAGGTGTGCACAGGGTGTCACACCCCCCTCCAGGTGTGCAGGGAGGGTCGGGTCACACACCTGTGTAAGCAGCGTGGGCAGGTCACGCACGGCCCAGCAGGGGAGGCAGTGCAGGTACTGGGGGCAGGAGATGGTCCAGGTGAGCAGGGAATGGCCCAGGCCTCTGCCCCTTGGGCAGGTAGGAGAGGTGGTGCAGGCAGGTGCCAGGTGATGCTCCCAGGCTGCACAGGCAGGTGACATCTGCTCAGGTGCAAGCGGTGCAGGCAGGAGATCCCCGGGCACGGCAGGTGGGGTTCTGGGCAGGAAGGGCTGAGGGCAGGATGGGAGATGCCCTGGGCAGGGCAGGTCCCAACAGGTGATGCCCAGGAGGTGCAGGAGGGCAGGTGATGCCCAGGTGATCCAGGTGATGCCAAATGCAGGGCAGGTGATGCAGATGCTGCCCAGATGGTGCCCCAGGCAGGACAGGTGAGACTCAGGTGATGCCCAGGCAGGATAGGTGATGCCCAGGCGGTGCTCAGGCAGGGCTGGTGGTGCAGGTGATGCCCAGGTGATGTGGGTGATGCCCAGGTGATGTGGATGATGCCCAGGTGGTGCAGCTGATGCAGGTGCTGCTCAGGTGGTGCCCCAGGCAGGGCTGGTGATACGGGTGATGCCCAGGTGATGCCCAGGTGATGCCCAGGCCGGGCAGGACTCAGATCTCCGGTCGCAGGTCCCGGGTCAGCCCCGCCCCCGGTCCCACCCCCCCCGGTCCCGCCCCCGCCCCCCCCGTCCCGCCGGGCCGGGGCAGCAGCGCCGGGGGCGGCGGCGCCGGGCAGGTACGGGGGGGCGGGGGCCGGGGGGGGCCGGGGGCTGCGGGACGGCCGGGGGCGACGGGGAGAGGGGACAGTGGGGGGCCATGATCCCGGGGAGGGGGTCCCGGGGCGGGTGGGGTGTCCCGGACACGGGGGTCCTCTGCCCGGGGGTGACACGGGGGGAGTGACAGCCAGGGACCGCGGAGCGGGGGAGAGGGAAGGGATCCCCCCCGACACCCCCTGCCCCAACAGGGAGCGCGTCCCGGGGGGAGCAGCGTGCGGGACCCCCCAGCCCGGTGCCGGGGATGGTTGGGGTGGCAGATGGGGAGCGCCCCCCTTCCCCTGCCCTAATTACCTGCCGCTAATTGGGGAGGGGGGGCACCATATGGCTCCCACTGCCATTGCGGGGAACGCTGAGGGTCCCCCTGCAGACCCCCGGGGCTGGGGGAGTCGCACAGTGCGGGGCGTGGGGGGGACACGAGGGGGGACACGGCTGTCCCACAGGGAACGGTGCCGGCCTGGCACCTCCCGGTGAGACCCTCGGGCGGGGACAGGGACACCTTGGGGACATGCGCCGGGGACAGGGACAGCACCCTGGGGTCCTGGGGAAAGGGACCCCCGCGTGGTGACAGCGCTGGGGACCCCAGGAGAGGGGAGCTGGCAGGGGCACAGGGACCCAGGAAAGGGACCTCGGGGTGGTGACAGGGCTGTCACTGGGGCTGTCCGGCTGGGGGACATTGAGCAGGGGCCTGGGGACAGGGGCGCGGGGCCAGGGGTGGCAGCCCCGCTCCTCCCTCTCCGCCACAGGCGGCCCCCGAGGTCCCCTTGTCCCCATGGCGGCCGCGTCCTGCCCGGCGCTCCTGGCCGCCTGCCTGGCGCTGCACCTGGCCACAGGTGAGCATCCGGGGGGCACCTGGAGGGCAGGGGACACCTGAGGGGGACACCGGGGCTGGGAGGGACCCAGTGGGCGTCTGGTCGGGACTCAAGGAGGGCAACTAGGGGTGGTGGGGACACAAGGGATGCGGCCACCAGGGAATGAGGACTTGAGGGCATGGGAAGCGGACCCTGGGAGGTGAGAGGTGGGACCGCAGGGCATGGGGACACAGAGGACCCTGGGGAGGACCCAAAGATGTCACCTGAGTGCAGGACCACTCCAGAGTCTCTTGGGGATGGAAGCTTGGGCGTGAGAACCAAGGGGTGGGGACCCTGGGGGACACGAGCGACCGCGCTGGGGGCCCAGGAGGTGGGACTTGGGCGGTGGGGACACGGCGGGGACTGAGCGGGGAGCTGGGAATGCGGATGGGGTTGTTAGTCCAGGGATAAGGGGACGGGGACACGAGAGACCCTGCTGGCCCTCGGGGAACGGGTGGGACCTGGAGAGGGGGGGTCAGGGGCTGGGGGCCACACCCGCCCGGACACGCGTGTGCCCATCCCCGGCGCGGCCATGGCAGCCCGGGGCGACGGCTGCAGCGGCTTCGGGAACCTGTTCACGGAGATCGCGGAGAACAGCGCCCACGGCAGCCTGGTGGCGCGGCTGCCCCCGCCGGGGGACGCGGGGGGCGCCGGGGGCGGCGCCGGCCTCCAGCTGTGCCTGGTGGGCGCCGACGCCTCCTGGTTCTACCTGGACGGGCGCAGCGTCCGGCTCAACGTCTCGGCCGGGCGGGCGCTGGACCGTGAGGTGACACCGCCGGGACACCCCCAGTGCCCTGTCCTGTGTCCATCCTGTGCCCACTGGCCATCCTGAATCCACCCCCACCCGTGCTGTGTCCATCCTGCATCCTTCTTATGTTTATCTGCCTCCATCCATCCATCCATCCATCCATCCATCCATCCATCCATCCATCCATCCATCCATCCATCCCACACC